CACACCTCAAGCTGTGAACAGGTACGTGCCGAAGCACATCTTCTTCGTCGCGAGCGAGCTCCTCAAGAACGCGGCCGCGGCGACAGTCGACTTCCACGCCTCGCGCGGCGGCGGCGGCGGCTTACCCCCCGTCCGGATCGTCGTCGCGTGCGGCGAGAACGAGATGGCGATCAAGGTAGCGGATGAGGGCGGAGGCATCGCGCGCTCGCGGCTGGCCGAGGTGTGGTCGTACCGCGGGGCGCGGCTGGCGGGCGGGTTCGGGCTGGCGGCGAGGAGCGACGCGGACGAGCTGGTGCGCTCGCCCGAGGCGTCGGCCGGGCTCGGGCTTCCCCTGGCGCGGCTGCACTGCAAGTTCTTCGGCGGCTCGCTCCACCTCACGCCGATGGAGGGGTACGGCACCGACTCGTACGCCAAGCTCAACCGGCTCGGCGACGACAACTGCGAGGACCTGCCCCAGGCGGTGCGGGAGAGCTACGGCATGGAGGCTGCGGAGCCCTCGGCAGCTGTCAATCAGTGGTACGCGCGGCGCGGGCTGCAGGTGGGAGACTTGCTCTATGACGCGCAGGCGCGGCGCGGCTGAGGAGGAGGGCGGCGGCAGAAGGCGGGGGCGGAAGGCGGCGGAGGAGGCGGCGGAGAGAAGGCCGTGGTTTAGGAGTAGGGGGGGCGGGGGATGTGGGATGGACACACGCAATTCGAGGCCTTTCGCTTTCCTCCTGCATGCGTGAGTCTCGAGTCCGAGGGAGACGCTGAGAGAGAGTTGACGCGGCTGGAGAGACGCGTGTGCCGCGTGTGTGCGCGCTCTCTTTCTCTCCTGCTGTGAGACGCACCGTGCCATGTGTCGCGACACGCATGTGAGGCATGCTGATGGGAGTGATGACTTGATGTCATCACTAGCCGAGCCAAGGCCGGCGGAGGGTCGTTTAGCGTGACAGATAAGTCATACAAGTAGAACTTCAAGTTGCCAACTTCGTCGACCGTCGTCGTCACGTGTCACGTCGTCAAACGTGCACGTCGTGTGACTC